TGATTTTTGAGTTCTAACTCGAAATGCTACTTTTGAACATGCTTTTTGATTGATATGCCTTTAGAATGTGATTATTTGGAAGTACGGTCGCAAACGAGTCGAGTCGAGCGCAAATCGAACTTTTTTCTTAGCTCGAGTTCGGCGAGCCATGTTATATGTTGCTCGACTCGACTGGTGAAAACAAATAAAAATGCTCGAGCTCGACTCGATGTTCGAACTTCGGCATGACTCAGTTTGGCTCGAAATTTTAACAACTAACTTTTAAATATAAAAGTACTATTTTTAATCTAAATAGACAATTTCGGCAATGACACTGTTATAATATTAATAATCAAACTATATGAGATATTTATGTAAATGAAAGGTCCGAGCAGTTCGTCGAGCTTATGAGACTCTTGAAATGATGCTCGAGGCTCGCCTTCTTTGCTCGATTGAACGAGCTTGACTCGAGCTTGAGTAGTTAACTCGAGAGCTCGCAAGCGGCTCGTGACTGCTCGACTCGAGCTTGAGTAATTGACTCAAGCGCTCTCGAGCGGCTCGTGAGCCGCACGACTTGTTTGCAGCCCAGGCTATAACCATCGTATCATCACTAAGGTCTCAGACAAAACTGATTGCAACAAAATCTAATTTACAGCTAAAATTCGCCAGATGCTAAGATATTACAATAGATCCCATGACTATTCTGCACAGCAAATATCTTTACATGATGAAGAGTTGGCAACAACATAAGTCTCTTCAAGATATAAATGCAGCTTCAGCCACTCGAAATATCAACCTTTCGAATGCTTGCCCATTTTTAAATCCTTCCAGCAGGAGATAATGTTCTTGACCAGGTTATGGCCTCTGCAAAATATTCTTGACTCGGGTCTTTGCTGTCTGTGATCTCGGGGAATTTCAAACAGGTGATTTTCGCCACACATGTGGCAAATGCCTCAAGCAAGGAAATCGATGCATCGAGCTCGATCGAGTAGTACCCATTTTCAAATGGTTTCATCGTGAAAACGAGCTCGTCGCCTTTTTCTCCATCCTGTACAATGAAACATCTCTGAATTTAGTTCATAATAAAACCGAAAGGCTGAAGCTAACTGTTAGGGGCATTAGTGATTCTGATAGATGCCTTTTATTTTTTTACTTAATACTGTTTGAAAGTGTAATTAATCTAATGACTCGAAGTATTACAAATTTACAACATACCTCAACATAAAGATTGACATGATCAATACTATGGCTTCTCTTCTTACAGTCGACAAGTACACACAGCTTACAGCCAACATCCCAACCTCCACAATCACACGACCCACCAAATCTCCATCTGCTAATCAACGAGGAGAACGTGCCTTTGATCGGCAAGCCATGAACACCACCTGGAAGAATTACAACAATGCCCCTATCATCGTTTTTATTTTCCTTAAGCTCCATTTTACTCGGTTTTCTGACAATAACAGCCACAAGTTCCTTTTTTGGTTCATTCTCAACCTCCTGCTCTTCTCGATCATCAACACCGTAAAGTACGCATTCCCTTACATTGCATTTTTCGCCGGAGCCCGAAATCTTCATTTGGCCGACAATTTTGTACCCAAGATTAGAGCTTTTACTCTTCGAACCTTGATTCATCCAGCTCGTGCCCTTTTTCTTCATCTCTTGGACAGAGTAGAATGTGTAAATCAAGCAAGAATCAATCTTTCCAGATGCAGGTAGCCTCTTCACTGTAGCAGCGAGCATGTCATTGCTACTATTGACCACAAGTTTAAAGAAAGGGAGCCCGTTTTTCAAAGTTAGCTGCAGAAGGGCCTGTAAAGTAGTCGGCCTCTCAGGCTGAGATGGGCCCGTGGCAACAGTCTCAGCTGTATGGGCCTCTTTGTGCTTCAAAAGTGGGTCCAGCAATCTCCTTAATGGGCTGGACCTTGCTCGGCTGCACCCATTTGCCGGGTCATTTTTGAAGTTATTTGCGCCGGAGGAAGTTTTGGGCCTCACAGAGCTCAAATGGGGTACTTCTGAGTTATCCTTGAAGCTAAGACTTTTGCTCGTCTTGCCCCGGTGGAAGCTAAACCGCCGATTTTCAGCAAACTCGGCTTTATTTTTGTCAGAAGACTCAAGAAAAGATGATGGGATGCCGTTTTCGTCATGCACCAACGAATGTTTACTTTCTGATACATCAATTGATTCAAAAGTCAATGGACTGTTCGGGTCACGGACATTCGAAACTGAAACATCACTAGATTTAAGCTCTTGAGGACAAAAGAAATCTGATAATCTGGGCCTCACCATTTCTGCAAATTCTCCATCGAGCGATATCCTAGGTTCTGTAAACTGAGAGCTCTTGAAGCTACCTCTTTTAAAGTGATCCGGTTTAAACAGCACAATATTTTCCAATTCCAGCTGGCATTTGGGTGTAAGTCTTAATATTTCCCTATTCCCCAGAGCATAACTATTGTTTCGCGAATTTTCTTCTTTTGACATCATCTCCTTCTTCTGATCCTCGTAAGACTTTGCTCTCTCATGAAAATGGTCTTGAAGTCTACCAATTCCATATTCTTGGTTGCATTTTGTTTCCTTTCCTTTATTAGATCGAACAAGCTCGGCATATTTTTCACCACCCTTGTGATGATAACTCACATTATTTTCTTCCTTAGGCAAACCAAATTGCGAACCATGAAGCACGGCTCTATTTCTTGAATTCAACGAGATATTTTCACGAACATGTGAGGAGACTAACTGCTTTCTCGGGACTTGACATATTCGAGTCTTGCTACTTGATGATGCCTTTTGAGGGTATTTACGTGAAGGCATACGCTCGTTATATTTCCACTTCTCCAGGCGCCTCCAGTCGAGCACACCAAAATTCAGTGCCTTTTCTTGAATATTACTTTGCTTCTCCATGTGGTGGAGAAAGGCGGGTAACTTGGACATGTATTTGACGAGCTCATTATCATCATTTTGCTTGTCTTGGGACGGTAAGCTCGTTTTTCCATCCCATAGCATTGGATTTTCCATGTTATTGGCAAACAAAGTTTGCTGTAAAGTCGAGCTTCTTTCCTGCTGTGAGAATGCATCTGTATTACACATTCTCTTTCGCCCGTGCGCTTAGAATTTGGAAAGTAAAATGTAAGATCTTCCTGAAAATATAAATCACGAAGAACGATGCAAGTTAGTTAAACAAAACCACAAAATGTTCGGTACAGAGCGTGATAGTTTTATCAATGAGCAGTCGCATGTGATTTTTCAAGATTTTCTTCTTTCAGTTAACATCAGGCAGATAAAGATTAAATACAAAATCAAACGCGGAGAAAAGAGATAGACATCGAAATGAAGAATAGAGATACTGTGGAAGATTATTGAAAAACTTAATAAAAATCCCAAAAATGCCAAAGAGACAGAAGATGACAGTTGGCTCAATCCACAAAACCCCCAATACTCAAGTTCTCAAAACAGTCATATTAGGAAAGTGCTATGGAACAAAATTTAACCAACAAGATAAAAAAACAAAAAAAAAATAAATAAATAAAAAAAATAAAAAAAAAGGAAGGAAATGTCAAATGTTTATACCCATTCACATTAAAGGAAGATGCTACGGTCTCGTTACGGAACCATTCTGTCGGGGTTTGCAACCGTTAGATCAACTATCTCTAACGGCTACATGATGGTCTAGCGGTTACAAACCCCGACGGAATGATTCCGTAACGGGACCTTAGCATTTCCCTCACATTAAATCTTGGAAAAATTGTACAAAGAACAAAACATAAAACTGGCAAAAATGTGCTGATGAACAAATCTCACACCACGGACCCATTTGAGCGCTGTCACTCTAACTCTAACCTCAGAAGCTCGACATTTTCATAACCCCAATTCACAAAGTAA